CCCACACCACACACACACACATACACATACACACACATACATATACACATATACACGATGAGCATCCACGCCTCGTACGCCCCATCCCCGCCCCGTCCCTGCGGCCGTGGCAATGGCCGTCAGTTTGGCGCCACTTCCCCCCCTCCCGCCCCCCCTACCCCCCCCCCCCCCCTCCCCCTCTCGCCAACTCACCCACCCGCCGTACTATGACACAGACTCCTGGGCAAGCGGTACATGGCGACAATGTTGCACCTTGTGGCCATTCTGTGTGCGTTTTACTCGTTGCAAAACAATGTGCGGGCGGCGCTGCCGGTCAACTACAAGCAGTCCGAGTACAACAAGAAGATGGACGAGGCTATGATCTCGTGGGGTCTGGCCATGGCGTTTATTGCTGCAGAGCTGGTCCTCATGATTGCTGGCTTCTCGCTCTTCTACGCTCTCCTCGCTGTCTTTGATATCTTTGTCCACGTCGTCGGCACCATCACTGTTGTCTTCTTTATTGCCAACGAGTGGCACGTCCACACCCTCTGGTACATCTTCATTCTCACCGTGCTCATCCCGCTGCTGGCAGAGCTCGCCGCTGTTCTCTCCATCGTCATCTTTCGTCGCCGTCCGTTCTAGACTTCGCTTAAACATCGGCCGCTGCTCCTGCCTCATACCCCGCGAGCGTGATCGAGACCGGAACGCTGCGGGCTACCGCGTTCTGGCTCAACACCGCCTCTACCTTGGCAGCCTGCGACTCATACTCGCCTGAGAGCAAGCTGATCCACTCGCTCGCCGCCGCCGCGTCGCCGGCGCTAATCAGCCCAAGCACAAGCCCGACCCCACCAGCCAGCCGCTCGCCAAAAACGGCAGCGTCCCACGAGATCCACTTGCGCGATGCCGGCGCCCGAAGAATCTGCGCGTGCGCCACAACCACAACCTCGCTCGTTTCTTCGCCAGAGCTTGCCTTCTTGCTGTCTGGTGCCAGACCACTCACCACCGAGAGCGCCTGCACCCGGAACAGCCAGCCAAGGACGGCTGTGTGCGCCGCGGCGCTCGCTCCCGCGTCTCCGTCCGCAAGCAGCAGCCGCAGCGACCGCAGCGTGTTGATGACAAAGGTGGCGACGAGCGAGGCCCACCGGGTCCGCGGCGCATGCTGGCGTGCCACGTACAGGCCGAGCAGCAGGCCCTTCAGCTCTTCCAGCACCAGCGCCGACTCGCCGAGTGCGCCCTCGACAGACTCGAGCGAGTGCTCGTCTACAACCAGCACCGCCGGGCCGAGAGCGTACGCAACCTGCCGCGCCGCCACCAAGTACACCAAGTCGTCGAGCTTTGGCTGCGGGAGTCCTGGCTCGGCAATCAGCGCCGCCAGCGGCGCTGCCACCCGTGCATGCACCGCCGCCGCCACATTGCCCAAAACCAGCGCCACCGCGCCGCGCGTCGATCGCACCACGGCCTCGCATGGCAGGTTGAGCGCCAGCGGCGGCGGCGCTCTTGGATCGAGGCCGGCGAGCATGACCACGTTGACCACACGGATGCAGACCTGCGGGAGTCGGAGCAGCGCCGCGCCAGCCTCCACGCCCGGCAGCTCGGCGTTGAGCGCTGACCAGCCGTCGAGAGCACCCACCACGATCCGAGTCGCTGCTGCATCGTACACGCCCGTGGCGCACAGCCATGCCGTCTTGCACACCCCGCCGCCCATCTCGGCCCTGGTCACGTACGGGCCGAGCGCGACAACCAGTGGTGCGCCAGCCGTCACTCCGCTCGCCATCCACTCCATCCACATCTCCTCCGAGACCCGGTAGTGGTTACTCAGCAGCGCGTCCGCACGCGCCTTGAGATACTCGCCCGCCAGACTGCCACCGCCCAGCGCCAGCTCGTGCGCCGCAGCCTTGACCGCCAGCGCCAGCGCCTCCACCTCTTCCAGCGCAGCCTCGGGATACGGCACAGCCTCCAGCCGGCCATCGCCCGCCCTCGCCACCACCGTCACCGGCGACTCGAGCCCATGCCGCAGCCCAGCATCCGCCTCGGCCAGTGCTGCCTCCATCTCCGTCGTCTTCACCTCCATCTGCTTTTCCGCCACAGCCCGGTTCGCCGTCTCCATAACGTCCGCCACTCCCGCCAGTGCCTCTACCGTACGCCACTCGGCCTCGCTCAGTGCTCTCCGGTCTGCACGGACATGCACACACACCTCCGCCATCCCGCTCCGTCCGTGTCTCTACCCTCTCTCTGAGTCACGTGCCACAGCCCGCGCCCAAGCTCGGTCCGACTGGCTCTGCCTCCGCCTCGGCCTCGTTCGGCGTGCCTGCCGCCGCTGGTCCAACCGATCGCAACGATTATTGCTTGTGGCACGTTATCGATGACACCAAGACAACACACTTTGCCCTCGCCACCATGACAGCCTCTGATTCACCAAGTGATCTGTTGATGTGGTCCATGCCGTAGCTTGGGCCATGCCGCACTCGTTGTTGTCTGGTGTGGTGTGGTCATTGTGGCCGTGTATCGTCCAACTGGACTCATCTGAAATCAAGCCAAACTCAACCCAAGTACATGATCAACGATTCTAATCAGGTCACCCTTTACCTCTGCGGTCTCAACCTATGATCGAGCTGCCTATTCTTACCGCAACTTCCCCCCTCCCCCCCCTACACACACATCTCCTCCTAATCCAACTCCATCTACCCCCTTTGTCATCCCTTCATCCGCCGACTTGATTATTCCCTCCCTCTCCCCACCCCCCAAACTCAGTCATCGTTCACGATCCCACGACGGCCCCCCTCTCCCCCCCTCCCCCCCCCCTCTCTCCCGATCACCACCCCCGATGAACCCCCTTCCCCCACCGATCATCACTCCACAGCCTCCTCGCTTCAGCTCAATGTACGCCACCACGAGTCAGGGACATATGCTCTCGCCGGCACACTCAACTCAAAGTGAGCCGACAACTGGCGAGGTCAGCAGAAGCCATGGTGAGACGGCGCAAGGTGAGCGAGGTCGAGTACCACGAGGAAGACGGCATGGGAAGGTTGGGCAAAGACAAAGATGAGGAGAAGCAGCTGGGAGGAGCAGACTCGCTGATGGAGGTGGTGGTGGGCGACGGGCGTGCTTTCTGGCTCCTTGTGCTCCTCTACGCGGCCCAAGGTGCGCCGCTGGGCATCACCATGGGCTCGCTCTCGTTTCTGCTGAAGAAGTCGTTTTCGTTCTCATCCATGGGGCTCTTCTCCATCGCCATGTATCCGTACTCGCTTAAGGTCCTCTGGGCTCCGCTGGTTGATGCCTTCTTTGTCCCGGTTTTCGGCCGCCGCAAGACATGGATCGTGCCCATGCAGACCATCTCCGGCTTGATCATGATCGCCCTCTCGTACTACACTCCGCTCATTGTCCTTGTCGACGGTCCGCATCCACACTCGGCCGATTCGCTGGCGTCGCTTCCACCGGGCGCAGCATCGATGACCACGCTTGTTGCTGTCTTCTTTGTCCTGGTCGTCGTCACCGCCACACAGGATATTGCCGTCGACGGTTGGGCGCTCACCCGCCTCGCGCCGCGCAACCGGTCGTACGCCTCGACCTGCCAGTCGATTGGGCTCAACATCGGGTTCTTTGTCTCGTTCACCGTCTTTCTCGCCCTCCACTCGCCAGAGTTCTGCAACGCGTACCTGCGCTCCTCGCTCACCGCCGATCCGCACTACGGGCTGTGGACCCTTTCGGGCTACCTGTTCTTTGTGGGCATGGCATACCTCGCCGTGACTGCGGTCCTGGTGCTCTTTGTCACCGAGGACGACGATCCCGAGGGCGCAGCCAGTGTCGGGGCCTCAGGCATGGCGGCAGCAATGGACATCTACCGGGTCTTCCTCGCCCTGGCCAAGTCGCGGAACTTCCTCCGCCTTGTCGCCGTTCTCCTCCTTGTCAAGATCGGCTTTGTGGCCGACGATGCCATCACCCCGCTCAAGCTCATGGAGGCAGGGTTCAAGACCGAGGACCTGGCTCTGGTCGCTGTCATCGCCTTTCCCTTCTCGATCGTCTTTGCCATGCTTGCCGGCCGATGGGCGTCGGGCCCGAATCCGTTCCGCCTCTTTGTGGTTGCCTGGCTCGTCCGCATTGGCTTGGTCTTTGTCGACGGTGCCGTCGTCGCCTACTATCCGCTTCTCTCCCAGCCCGACGGCTCGGCTGGCACTGCGCTCTACGTTCTGGTCGTACTCCTCTCGCTTGTCTCCTCGCTGGCGTCGTCGTTCATGTTTGTCGTCATGTGCGGCTGGTTTGCCCGCATCGCCGATCCGCGAGTTGGCGGCACCATCCTCACTGCCCTCAACACCCTCTCCAACCTCGGCGGAACGTGGCCCAAGCCCATCGCCATGGCCGGCGTCGACATGCTCTCCATCCCGGGCTTGGTCGATGGCTACTACGTCGTCCTCTTTGGCTCTGCCCTCGCAGCCCTCGCAATCTTCTTTGCCTTTCTCCGCCCGCAGCTCTACTCGCTCTCTGCCCTCTCGCCCGACAGCTGGCGTGTCAATATGTAGCCCGATCAAGCCGCGATGCCATTACACCCCTCTCTCCACACCTGCTCTCCGCCGACCTCGGTGCTCTGCCGGGCCTGACCATCACCACTCGACTTGGCCTGGCCATGGCCTCACTCGCCAACACGGCCCTCTTCACCGGGCTCGACCCGCTCAGCTGGACATACTTCCGGCTGCCTATAGCTAGCCTCTACACTGGGAGGAAGCAGGATGCAACCGCTGTCGGCGACGACGACCTGTGGAGCGTGAGCGTAGCTGGGCGGCTGGTCAAGGCTGCCGAGGTGACCGGCATGGTGGTTCAGGTTGCCCGCCGCGCCCGCCACACCCAGTACCTCATCGACGACGGAACAGGGTTGCTCCCGGTTGTGTGCTGGCTACCGGACGGTGTGGTCGATGCTGATGCCGATCCAGATGCTCCGCGTGTGCTGGGCCTTGGCGAGAGTGTGGTGGCTCGCGGCCGGCTGAGCTCGTTCCGCGGCGATCTGCAGATGGTGGCAGACTCGGTGTACGCGAGCTCTGATCCGCACGCAGAGGCCCTCTCGTGGCTGGTGGCGACGCAGCTCACTGTCGAGCGCTACACCAAGTCGTTTGAGCCGGCCCAGGTACTGGCCCCGGATCTCCTGGCGGCGGCGGCTGAGCTTGCATCGCGCCCGCCGCCGGCGCTCGGTCGTGAGATGGACCGGGAGCAGGGAGCTGTCGACGAGGGCGGCGAGGCCAGCGGCGACGAGCCGCCCCGCGATCCACAAGCGGTGTTTGCAGATGCTGTGCTAGGCGCTATTGCCGCGACCGGTACACGGTCGTACGCCGAGCTCCGCAGGCTGCCGGAGCTCAATGCGGCGGCTCAGGTTGCGCTGGCAGCGGTGCCGTCGACGGTCGAGGCGGCGACGCGGCTCAAGTCGCTGTTTGTGCGCACCTTGGCACGGCTCGTGAGCGACGGGCTCATCTTTCTCCAGGACGAGGATGCAGACGTGTACGAGGCTATCTCGGTGAGCCGCAACCTCGGGCCTGCGCTACTGGCGCTGGTGGCGGATGCGCGGAACCATGACGTGCGGCCGGGCGACGGCTCGGTGTCGGGCGTGACTGCATCTGCGCTGGTGAATCTTATTGCTGCCTCGCCGTCGTTCTGCAACGTGGCTCGGAGCAGAGTCTTTGACGCTATCGCGGTCCTTGTTGACGAGTCGTACATCTTTGAGTCTGCACCTCGTGTCTACGCCGCGCTGTAGCTAGCGAGAGCGCTGCAGCCACTCGCTGTACTCTTCCAGCCAGAGCTCACCGTAGACCGCCTCTGCGGCGACAACTGCTCGATGGCCAAGCGGCAGCGGCGCGAGGCCGAGTCCGGGCCTGCCCGCCACAATGAGCTTGGCGAGATCGGCGTCACCAGAACTTGTGAACGTCACGACCCGGGCGAGGCTTTCGGCGTCGATCATGGTGCCCGAGGCGGCTGCGAGGAGCGAGTTGAACGATGCTCTCAGGCGGAGAAGGCTCATGACAGCGCGACGGCTGGTCGCTGCACACGGCAGCTCGGGTGGCGCGGGAGGAAGGAGTCCACCCGCCCAGTAGGTACGGGCGTCGGCCCACGCGACACGCAGCAGGACTCTCCAGAGCGCATCGCTCGAACCGACCACCCGGGCGGTGGCTTTCGAGACCGAGGCCACTCGCAGCACGTCAGCAGGCGGCAGAAACGAGAGAAGGTAGCTTAGGACGGCATCGGCGAGGTCGGAAAACGAGCTCAGCGGTTGCGGCGGGGCACATGTCGGGTGGGTGGGAGGGCGCGGGCGGCGGAGGAACGGATGACGGAGTGCTAGCCGCGGCGTGAGCCGCTTGAGCACATCGACTTCAAGAAGCGAAGCGACAAAGGCCTGCGCCACAGCGGTGCGTGGAAGCGGCCACGCCGGGCCGGAGAACGAGTAATTGCCTGTGGCGATCTGCGAGAACATGAGCCGCTTGGCGCCCGCAAACGGGACGTCGCCCGCAAGGCACCAATATGTCGTCACACCGAGCGACCACATATCGACGGGAAACGAGTAGCCGCGCAGATAGTCAGACGAGCTGCCGCGGCGGCGGGAGAGGACAGGTGCGGCCGGGCTCGCCGCTTGGCTCGAGTTGGACGGAATACGGCGGAGGGCCAGCATCTCGGGCGCGGCGTACGCTGGTGTGCCGCACATGGTCATGAGCAAGTCTGCAGACGAACCGAGCTTGACCGCCATGCCAAAGTCAGCCAGCTTGATGCGCCAGTGCGGTGAGCATGCAAAGACGAGCATGTTGGTGGCTTTGACGTCGCGGTGGATGATGCGCTTGGTGCGGAGATAGCGAAGCGCCTCGACCATTTGCCCGACAACCACAGCGGTGTCGGCAAGCGGGAGGCGCTTGTCCGAGTAGCCCTTGACGACTGCGGCGAGCGAACCGAGCGGCGCAAGCTCGAGGACGACACAAAACGCGTCGCCGTCCGAGTAGGCATCAAGTACGTTCACAATGTGGGGACAGTCGAGCGCTGCGAGGAGCGTGTGCTCGAGCTCGATGTCGGGCGGCGGCAAGCCGGTCCGAACCGCGAGCGCCATGGTGGCGTCGTTGAACTTGGTCCGCGACGCAGCCTTGACAGCAACCGCCGCGCCATCACTCTGCCGCCGCGCCTCGTACACGACCGCAAACGCACCGGCACCGAGCTGGCGCCGCAGCTCGTACCGGGCCGATCCGACACTGGTGCTGGCGCTGCGAGCGTCGCAACTCTGGTGGCAGGAGAGGCGAACAACGACAACACCGCGCCCGGGAGCCGCGCCTGCGAGCAAAACGAGTGATTTCGGCCCGATGACCACCGTCTCGTTCTTGGCCAGCCGTACAGAGTCGACGTATGTCCCATTCGACGATCCGAGGTCGGTGACAGAGACGACGCCCGTCGCCGGGTCGAGCTCGATGCGCGCGTGACGCCCCGACACCGTTGGCACTGCAGCCAGCGGAACTGAGCACCCGTTGGCGCGTCCAATAACACACGCTCCCTTGGCCTCCAGATCCCACTCGATGGCGAGCTGCGAGCTCAACAGGAACCGGATGCAAGTCGGGCGCGCTTCTTTCTCACGGCTCTCCAGCTCGTCCTCGAGCGACTCTGCGAGCGACGACGCAACCGATGTGTGCGATGATGCTGGCACAATGGCAGGCTGCTGCTGCTGCTGCTGCTGCTGCTGTCGCTGCTGCCGCTGCTGGTCCTCATCGTCAGATCCAGCCGCAACCGGAGCAGAGACATGCCCCACATGGGTAGAGACACTCTCGCGAGGCTGACCACCGTGCTCAGGGTGCTTGCCGGAAGCCTCGGGTCGAGCTCGTGCCGCGAGCCGAGGACGAGTGAGAGCGACGAGACGGGCATTCTTTCTACGCATCCCATGCATGTTGTATGCCCCAGGAAGGGGATGGGGTTGAGGTTGGGGCAGGGGGGGGGGTGAGGTGGTGGTGGCCTGTAGTCGGTCTGCGGGGCGTGGCGCACAGGCGACACTCACACAGGTGGCCGGCCATCTACACGCGCGCGTACCGCGAACAGCAAGCCTACTCCAATCCAAGCAGAGCTCGTACATGCCGTCCGTACTATTCCGCTCTGTCACAGCTGTAGATCGATAACATCTCTGTAGCCAACTTTCGCTAGCGATCAACGCTGACCTTGCTAGCCTCACTACCTCGTTGCCACCCACATCGACATGGCCAGCCGACCGATGGCAGACAACATGCCGTATCTACTTGTCGCTCACAGAGAACAAACCGTAGGCCCACTCGCACTGCCAATCAACAGGCCATGGTCATCGGCAGCCTGGCCGGATCAGAGGTAGCGTCCGTCGCTGGCAGCAAAACGAGAAGGAGGAAGGCGGCGGGCGACAGGGCAAGCAAGGGCAAGCTCGGCAAGCTCGGCACGCTCGGCAAGCTCGGCAAGCACCCCACTCTCCAAGGCTACCAAGACAAACGAGGATGTACCGACGGGATGGGATTGGGGCAGTTGCTGTGTGTGTGGCCATGGTGGTTGTGCTTGGAGTGGTGGGCCGAGGAGCTGCTAGCCCGAGCCTGACCAGCCTCCATGACGCCATGTACACCACTCTCTCGGGCTCTCCTTGTACTCGTCTTCTGACCACCTTTGGGACCATTGGCTGTGGCTTTCCAGAGTCTGCAAAGGCTGGTCCGCTCTATCCGCTCACTTCTCAGAAAGAACTGGATGATCTTGCTGCTGCTGCCGTACCTCATCAAAAGTATGTCATGGTCATGGCGCCGCAGTTCTTCACCAGATCCGTCCTCGCTGCCCTCATTGACTCGCGCATCGTCGCTGGCGTGCTTGTTCTTCACGGCTCGCCGCCGGTCGATGGCTTTTCGCCCGAGCTCACCTGCCCGCTCGGTCGCATCTCGGCAAAGCTTTCGGGCGAGAGCGCCGCGCCCGAGTGCGTGGCGTGGAACCCGAGCGGCTCGGGCATGTCGCACCTGGCGTACAACTTTCCCATGTTTGCCCTCTCTGCTCAAGAGTCGGCGACGGTGCTGGCGCTGGCGCGCGACAACGCCGTCAACGGGTATGCTAGCTACCCGCGGCACGCTGCCGAGCCTAGCGCGTTTATGCAGGGATCCAAGGACACCGAGACCTGCCTCCGGCGCGGGTACTGCGATCCGGTCGGCGGCGCCTCGGTGTGGGCGACGACGGCACGAGTGGATCCAGCGGATGCACCGGCCCCGAGTGGCCGCTCGCGGCTTGTGCTCCTCACCACCGCCATGGACGCGACGGCGTTTTTCCACGACTCGGCCCGCGGCGCCGACAACGACGTGTCGGGCCTGGTGGCGCTGCTGAGCGCGGCTGCCACGCTGCACAACGTCTCGGCGCACTATCCGGGCTCGCTCACGGCCGAGTTTGTGTACGGCGCCTTTACCGCCGAGGCGTGGGGCTACTACGGCTCGCGTACCTGGGCCCGCGACGTGGCACGCCCGTTCTACTGCGACAAGCCCGACGGAGCCGGGTGCGACCGGCCGTTTCAGTTTGACACCAGCTTCACCAAACTGGACGCGGCCACGATTGCAGGCGTCCTCGACGTGCGGCAAGTCGGCTTTGCCTCGCCGGACGAGCCGCGGCGCGCGTTGTACGCGCACATCCAGTCAGGCGGCGCTTCTGGCGACGCGTCGGCGGCGCTGCGGACCGAGCTGGAGTCACTGAGCGAGAGTGACGACGCGCCGATCCTGGTCAGGGCCGGCTCGACGCCCGGCATTCCGGTCTCGACCTCGTTCCTTCCGCCGTCGTCCATTCTGGGCCTGGGCGAGGCTCTTCCTCCGGGCACACCCGCAGTGCACTTGACCCAGCACCGGGCCGAGTTTGTCAACCGCTACTACAACTCGATGTACGACACAGGCGCGGTGATTGACGAGGCGTACGTGTGCGAGGCGGCAAGCACGCTGGCACGGTCGGCGTTTGCGCTTGCGTCGGACGATGCTGTTCCGGCGTGGCTCTCCGCCAACTGCACCCTCGTCTCGCAGCTCTTGCACTGCCTCACGGCCGACTTTGACTGCGAGCTTGTGCGCTCGGTCATTCCCGCCGCCGGCGCATCCGAGCCGTCGTACTACTCCTCGATCTTCCGCTTCTCGATGGTAACGCCGCTGGAGAAGTTTGTGCACGACCTCCTTGCCGCGCTCACCACCTTTCCGTCTGCCGACGATGCCGAGCGCCTGCTTCCGCACGCCTACTACCATCCAGCATTCTCGCCAGGCCTCGCCTTTGACTATAGCGACCTTGTGTGGAAGGTGACTGACTCGTCCGAGGCCAACTACGTCGAGTCGACCTGGATGGTCACCAACTTCCGCCTCTACAAGCAGGACTCGCCCGTTGTCGAGGGTCTTGTCCTCGCCCTCGGCCTAGTTATCACCAGCGTCGCCTTTGGCATCGTCTACTCCTTCCGGCGGCTGTTTTTGGATGCGTAAGCCAAGAATCGCTCCACAGTGTAAACACCCCGCCGCCCGCCGCCTGTCACCCACCGCCCACCGCCCCGCGTATCAAACCACTTGACGCTCAAGCCCCCCCTCAACTATGGCAGCTTTTGGAGACGCACTCAACAACCTCGGCGACATGAAGGACAAGGTCGACGGCGCCGTGACCAAGGTTCTCGAGGTACGACCACCACCACCACCACCACGATTTACCATACCCCCCCTCCCCTCCCACCCCCCTCCTCCTTCCCCTCCTATGTAGAAGGGAGTGGCCTCCCAGGTCCGGAAGCTCCCCGGTGGCTCGCTCATTGCTGGCTCTGTCTCCAAGCAGGCCGTGGCCGGTGCCAAGAAGGACCCCAAGAAGGCAGCCAAGCTTGGGCGGATGCTCGCACGTGGGTGAGGACCAAGACAACAATGAGGCACATACGCATCGACTGCACAGCTGATCGCACATGGTGCTTTGATGCTGGTGCTTTTGATTTGATGCTGGTGCACGAGCCCATCACCTCCTCCCGACTTGGTCTACACTTATCTAAATACCACTCCTCTGCGCCATGTGATGGGTGTGCACGCAACAAACCGGTGAGGATGAGTTGGCTTGTTTACTCCCACTAGGCCTGCACAACGCCGATCTTGCGCGCCACCGCGCCGCAGACCTCGCCAGCAACCTTGGCCTCGCCACACCGGAAGGTGAGCCGGTAGAGTCCGTGCTGGGCAGCGACCTCGACGCGGACGAGGACCGCGGCCTTGACTGCTGTCGAGCACCACATGGCGGCGGCGACGACGTTGGTCGGCGATGGGTCGACACCCTGAAGGATGCCAAAGTTGAGGGCGGTGAGGGCCTCGCTGACGGCGGCCGGGGACGCCGCCGCGCCGGCGTGCGGCTTCATGACCACCATCTTCTGTGCATCGGCCGCCACTGCATTCCACTGCCCGAGGAAGCCGGGCCCATCGAGCGGAAGCGGCGCGAGGAACTTGGACGGGAAGAGCGGGAGCATGAGGAAGAGGTTCTCGCCGTTGTACGCGACCTGGACCACCAGCGGCTTGCTGAACACTCCCGCGGTCTCGACGAGGAAGATCTGCGCAGCCTGCGATGCGCCAGCCGGCACGCTCGTCAGCGCTTCGGGCACCGACACGTTGAACGACTCGTGCTCGAGCGCGGTCGCCGCAAACGGGCTCATTGCGCTCCCGGTCAGGTTCATAAAGAAGAGCGTGACCCGCGCGAGGTTGTTCTTGAACTCGCCCTTGTACCCGACCTTGATGTCGGCGTCCTCAAACAGGATGCCCACATTGGCAAACTTGAGCGCGCCCACAAAGTCTGGGTTGTCGATGACGAGCTCGCCACCAGTTGCCGCCTTGCCGGTAGCAGCCGGTGCCGGTGCCGGTGCCGTCGGCTCCGACATCAAGTCGAGCAGCGAGCCCGACGACGGCGGCGGCGCCGAGGTTACCGGAGCCGCGGCCGGCGTGGCCGCCGGCACAGCCGCGCCTGCGGCGGCGCCGACCTGTGCGAGCACCGCGTCGAGGTCCTCTTCCTCGGCGGCGTGGGTCGGCCCGCGGTCGGTCTTACCGGCCTCCTCGAGCTTGCGGGCGTAGATGACCACCGCCGACTCGCGTTCGGGAAAGGCGGGCATGACCTCCCACACCACGTTGAGCAGCGGCTCCTGGGCGGTGGAGAGGACCATGTACTCGCACGCGCGCTGCTGGATGTCGGCGTCCATCGCCGACCGGTGCTGCTCAAGCACGGCCTCGACGCCGAGCTTGAGCTCCGGGAACAGGTTGACGAGCTTGGAGTATGCGGTGAGGAGTAGGGCCTTGGTCTTGGAACCAACCATCGAGAACTTGGAGTGCAGCAGGTTGAACATGAGCGTCGGCGACGAGCCCGGGGCGTCGGCAATAAAGTGTCCATACTCGCCGAGCACGTAGCCGGCAATCTTGACCGCCACCTCGTGCGCCGACGGCGAGCAGAGCTCGTCAAAGACCCGCTGCGCCGCGTACGGCTGCATGTCCTCGTTGTTGGTCACCACCTGCACCGCACGATACCAGATGTCGTCCGACACATGGTCGCGCCCGGCCGAGATCAGCGTCAGCACCGTGTCAAAGTACCAGTTGGGATGCGGCGCGTACTTTTCCGCCAGAATGGCAATCTTGAGCACAAGCTCGTCCTTGATCTCAAACTCGGCCTCGTCGAGGTAGTCGAGGAGCTCGGTCACAATCTCCTCCGAGTTGGACGAGTCGCACATCGCAAACAGTAGGTCCATCGCCCGCCGCCGGATCGAGATGTCTGCATCGCGGAGCGACGACATGATCGTCTTCTGATGCCGCCGGATGAGCTCAATCGCGTCGTGGTTGGCCGCCGCAAGGTGCGCCATCTTGGCAAGTCCCAAGTACCGCGTGTTCGTCACCTTGGACGTCACAAACTTGCCCAGCAAGTTGGCGCACTGGATAATGAGCTCAGGCGCAATGTCGAGGTGGATCACAAGGTCCATCGCCTCAAACAGTACGGCCTGGACCGCGTGCACGTGGTTTGGCCGCGCGTCTGTCTCTACACGCGAAAGAATCGCGCCCAGAACCTGTACCAGCCGCGCCTGCATGTTGCGGTCTTCCGGCGCCGGATAGTACTGCAGCAGCCGCAGCAGTTTGACCTGCAGCCACGGCGCAGGCACGTCGTAGTAGTAGTACGCCGGCTTGGCCTCGCCCTGCAGCGCAAGCTTGTCCAGCAGCCAGACGCACTGCCGCACACACCCGGCGTACCCGTCCGGATCGTGCGAGACAAGTGAGGTGAGCAGCGAGAGCGCCCCGGTCGCCACCCCGAGGTGCCGCGCGTCGAGCAGCCGCGTCAGCGGCTCCGCAACCTCCGACGCAGACAGCATCTCCGGCCACGCCCGGAACAGCCGCAGCAGGCACAACGCCGCCTTCTTCTTCACCATCGGCGTCGTCTCTGGCGAGAACAGCAGCTCCTGCACCACCGGCGCGAGCGCCTCCGCCATTTCCTTGCCGCCGATGTTTGCCACCGCCGCCAGCGCCAGGCACGCCGACACGTCATGCGACGACGATTTGCCTGCAGTCAGCAGGTCGTTGCGGATCGAGTTGATGATGAGCCGCACCAGCTCGCCAGCAGGATCGATGGCCATGACCGCAAACAGATACCCCACTGTCTTCTCCGAGAACTTGCTCCCAGACAACAGATTGACCGCCTCAATGTGCCCAAAGTCGATGTCGTATCCAGCCTGCGAGATGAAGCAGAGCTTGAGCAGGTACTTTTTGAGCGAGTACGAGTCCAGCTTCTTCTTGCCTGCGTTGAGGAACTTTGTCCGGATCTTGTGCAGCTCAGCATCCACCCGCTTCTGCTCCTCCTCCTGGCTCTTGCCTACACTCTCCAGATGCACCACATCCACCATGAGACACGCGACATGCTTTCACATCCTACTGCCTCCCCACTGTCTACGTACACTTCACCCTCTCCCTTCCCCCCAGCCCCTTCTCCACCTCGGCTCCCTGCCCACCAAAAAAATGACCTGTCCGCCCACACCGCCACCGCTAGCTACCGCCCACACACCCACCGCCTTCCGCCACCCACCGCCAACGCCTCAGCACCACCACCCCACCATGAAACCTACAGTTGCGGATGTCCGCAATGAATGTGGTGAGCCCACGCAGCTGCACTGCCATGGCGTGTGAAGAGAGTCACGTGTCCCTCTGTTCGCTGGAAGGGCGGGCGGCGGTGGGGCGGCGGCTGGCGGCTGGTGGCTGACGGTCGACGACCGGCCGACGACTGGCCGATGACCATCCCCGCAAAGCTGAGTGCCCATCCGCTGGCCAATCAGCGGCAGTCACACGCAGGATCGCAACACCGTTACAAAGTCACAATAGAGCCATCGTCCCCTTGTTGTCGGGCTTGTGTCATGCAGCTCTTGTCAAGCCGGCAACCAGCATGATTGCCTTCTCGGGATCCGAGAAGGAAGGGTGCCTCCTCACACACACACACGTACGCGCACATACACACATACTCACATATATCAAAGCTTGATCCCCGCTAATCGCCATCCTCTCAAGATCCCCATGGCGCGATGCCAGCCATGACTCAACCCTTCCAGACGACACACTTCTCACACCCGCACGTGCGACGGCTTCCACGGCCTACCCACACCAACATACCGCCACACTCATCTCCCACCACCACTCTCTGCCTCACCACATCCTCCTGAGGATGGCCACCCTACAACGCCCACGTCTGTCTCGTACCTCTACGCGTCCACCTGCTGCTGCCACCGACAACGAGTCCGAGTACGAGTATGAGTACGAGTTTGCCGCCAACACTCAGGCCAACACTCAGCCCACTACCGCCAGCACCAATCCTCCCCCCATCGCCGCCACCGCTCCCAATGACGTCGATGACGAAGAAGCTGGGCCGTCTACCATCGCATCTGCTGAAGCTCCGCCTCCGTACTCGCCTGATGACCCTTTGATGGCCGATGAGCCTCCGGAACATATCGCGCCTCGATTCGAGGACATCTCCATCGGCACTGCCACCGCCGTTGCCTCTGCTCCGACTGCCGAGCTTGCGCCTCCCTACTCGGTTGATCCCGAGGGCCAGCACGTCCCACAAACGCCGATGCTGTATCCGGCGCTTGATGATCTTGCCCCGACTGCCGTCTACACCACCATTGTCGAGCCGCTGCCAGACTCGCCGACAGCCGCCACTGCCCGCCCGACGCAGACTCGCTTGTCTTTTCCTCTGTCACCGAGCAGCGTGCCTGGCTCCAGGCACAGAAGCAGGCTGACAAGGCGGCCATGGGCGAGCCGGCGCTGGTGACCGCCGCTGCCGCAGTCTCGGCATCAGCTGCCACGTCGGTTCTTCCACTCGAGGCCGCTGCAGGGCCGACGCTTGCCGAACTGCTGGACACTCCGCTTGCGCCGTACGTCTCGCCGTTTCTCGACGGCAGTCAGAACTCGCTCGCTCCGCTTCCCAGCCCGGACCCTGACTTTGCCGCACTCGTCGACGAGTACTTTGCCGCCGCGCTCGCTGCTGAGGCCTCGTGGTCTGCCATCGAAGCATACAAGGCCGAGCTGCGGACCAAGGCCAATGCAGTGTGGACAACCTCGTCACTCACTGTCTCACCACAGGCTCGCTGCGGCGACGGCAAGCTTCTCACCACCTCGTTCACCTACGACCGCGCGGACTACTCGCACGAGGCCGCGTCGGCCGTCGCCACCGACTTGGCTGCCCTACGCGCCGAGTGGAGCACCTCGCTCAACCTGGCCATCTTCAAGCTCTCACTCACCTCGATGCGCGTCGATGTGTGCGTCACCCGCGCCCTTGCTGCCGCCGCCGACCAGGCCGCCGTGCCTCCCCACTCCCCGCCGGCGCTCCTCGACTCGTCGCCGCTCCCGCACGCCCTTCGCTCCCGCCTCCTCGCCATGCTCTCTGTTCTCTTCTCATACGAGCAAAAGGCGCTTGGCAAGGTCGGCACCTATACCGCCCAGCTCTCGGACACCCTCCGGTCGTGGATCCTTGCCATCGGCGGTATGCTCCTTCGCGTCGGCGACGTCGGCATCCACTCGGCCCTCCTCGAGATGCTGCTGCGATGCCGCGGAGTGGCAGACTGGGGTGTTGTCCTTCTGCAGTTTCCTCCGCTTCCATGGAACGACGCCATCCTCCACCACTTTGTGGCCACTCTCACCCGCCTCCTCAACCCGGTCGTCGCCGATGCCGAGGCCCGCCCTGTTCTCTCCGAGAGCGATTTTCTCGCTCTCCTCGAGCAGATGCCGTTTGGCAACCTCTTCTGTCACCTCATGTTTGCCGCGCGCCACCTCGACTTTCCCTCGTACACCGAGCATGTCTTTGCACTCTCTACCTTTCTCCTCGACACCACCTGCTCCTCGCTCGCCGCCCTCGCCGAGTATCCCTCGCTCGGCGCCCGCCTCGGCGCCATCCTCGTCGCACTTGTCAAGTTCTGGGAAGTCTACTCGGTCGTCGCCGCGAGTTCGAGCCTTTGGTCGCCGCGGCTCACCTCGCACCTCGATCGTTTCTACCTCCTCACTCTCCACCGCGTCCTTGCCACACCCGGCTCGCGTGCCCGTCGCTTTCTCCCGCTCCTTCCGGCCGTCGAGCTTTCGCAGACCACCGCTTGGCACGCCTTTCTTGTCCTCTACCTCGAGCTTGATCCAAGTCACATGAGCCTTGTCGCCAACATCTCGTCGCACGGCCAGTGGCTCGCCGCCTTAGATGCATACCCTGAGCTGCGCGCCACTTTTATGCGAAGCTTTGACACCGAGGACGAGCTCAACTCGTCACGCGCCGTCTTTACCCTCGCCGCCGTCGGCGCCCTTGCCAAGCGGCCCGACCACCCCGTTCTCACGTCCATCGTCGTCACCGAGCTCTTCCACGTTGCCTACCTTCACCCTCCCACCCGCGACGTCCTCCACAAGCCGGTCCGTGGCATTCTCAGCGAAATCGCTTTTGTTCACCCGCACACCGTTCTCCCGTCTCTTCTAGCTGCCATCGCCACTCATCTCTCGGCGCTCGGGCCCATGGCGCTGAGCCTGGTCCGCGGCCTACCGCTTGGCGCCTGGTCCTCGTTTGACCTCTCGCATCTCGCGCATCTCGAGCCGTGGCTCCTCGACGCGCCCGTCGACTCGGTCCGCTTCCGTCTCGCAGCCGCCATTCTCGAGAACCTGCCCTGGGGCTTTGCTCGCGAGCCGGACACCCGCGTCCGTACTCCTATTCTCCCATTCGCGCTCCACCGAGCCGCCGGCCTCCTCGCGTTTCAGCTCTACGCATCCCACGTCCTCACTTCGCGCTCCGGCCCACTCAAGTCAACCAAGGCATCGCGCGCTGCTGTCGAGGCCTTTGTTCTCCGATTCATCTCGTGCCTTGCTCTCTTTGTCGACACTGACATCGATCCCAGCCTACATTTTCTGGAGCCGTCGCTCACCCCGCGCCTCGAGTGGACCGGTGACATCAAGTCCAACGCCGACGCGGCAGCCCCGATCCGGAACATGGCCCTCTTTCTCTTTACTGGCTCGGGCGCCTCGTCGGCCGCCTTTGCCAACGGCGGCCTCGAGTTTATCCATGCCGTTGCCAACGCCCACTATCCGGGCTCGGTCCTCCGCCTCCTCTTCACCGTCCTTCCCAGGTCGGCGTCAGCAGCTGGCCGCCGCACTCGCTCTCGCTCCTCTCGCTCATTCTCGACAAGATCCTGGCCTCCAGCATTGTCGACGACCCGTCTGCCGCAATCCTTCTCGCCCAGCACTGGCCGGTCCCGGTCGGCTTGCCGGACCGATGCCTCCCGGCCCACGTCACCCGTCTCCTTGCCGCTCTCTTGACTGCGCACGCCGTCGCTGGTGCCGGTGCGCCCGCCTCTGCTGACGCCCGTCTCCTGCCGCATGTCATCTTTCCGTTCTGGGCCGCCGTCCTCACACAGGCCCCCGACTGGTTTACTGCCGCCTCGCCTCGGCGCGCTCTGATGAACGTTCTCTCGCACGCCGCGCTCGTCATGGGCGTCTCGGACACGCTTGTCGGCGCCTACTCTGCTGCTACCGCGACTGTCAACGCCGCCGCGCCGTCCACCATGTCCAAAATCGGCTCGTTCTTCGGTGGCCTCATCGGCTCCGAGGCCAAGTCGCGCTCGCTACTCGCCACCAACGCCAACGCCACCCTCTCCAACGACATCCTCACGCCGCACTCACTCGACGTCGACTGTCCTGCGCTCATATTTGATGTGCTCTACATCGAGACTCTCGCGTTCCTCGGGAAGCTCGACGAGCTCGGTGCCCAGCTGGTGGCCGCCGGGCCAGGCGCTGCCCATCGCGTCCTCAAGTCGGCCGGTTATTCACGTACCATGTGCACTCTACCTATCTACAAGTGGGCTGCCTACGCTGTCGCGCTCCCGGTCGGCTCAACTCTCCATCCGCTTTTCCTTCACATGTTTTTTGCGCTCTACGCCGCCTCGTCCGGTGTCCATGATGCTGCCTTTGCTGGCTACGCCAACTACGGCGCGCTGTTCTTTGACGAGCTCTCGATCCCGGCTCCGTTTCTCAACCTCAAGACCCAGGTTGCTACCCTCCTTGTTGCACTTGTCAACCACCACCAGACACTCGAGACACCGCTCGCGCCGCAGCTGGTCGAGATCTACACCGCAATGTCCGAATGGCTCGCCTCGCCGGCGCTTGCCTCACTCTTTACCACCGCTGCTGCCAACACCGGAGGCACCCTCGACGCCCGCTTCCTCCCGGATCGGCTCGTCGCGCTTGTCCTGCGCTCTCCGCTCGTCGACCGCTCGTATCTCTGGCGCGACCTTGTCGACCTGCAGGCTGGCTTTGTGAGTCTCGCCCGCGGCGCCTCGGTCTGGCTCCGCATCCATCCGCGGTGCTGGACCGTGCCCGAGGCAGCGGTGGAGACGCCGCTCGAGCCGGTCGCTCGAGCCTTTGAGCGTGCCGACCCGCACCCGCGCGGCTTTGCTTTCTCGCCGTCGGTTAATCTCGGCGAGGTCCTTCTTGGTATCAACACCGCTAGAGTCGCCGAACCCGCGCCGCTGGCCGCCCGACCGGTTCTCGAGCCCGCGCCGCCGTCGGTCGACTCGATGCTGTACATGCTCAATCCGCTGGTGGCCCAGGCTCGGGCCCACTCGACCCGCGAGACAGACTATCTCCTGCTCGACGATGAGTATCTTCGCCTGCTCCCGCAGCTTTATGTCAACGAGCCGCGTGAGCGCCACGAGCTGAAGAGCTGTTCCGGCTCGGGCAAGAATGCCTGTCGACAACCAGTCCGCTTTGTGGTGCCCTACACCGAGCGGGTGATGCAGAACGGGGTCTCCGACTCGATCGTTCGCAACCGAACCCGCGTCAACGAGCTCATTGCTGCCTCTGGCACCGCGCCTGATACCTGCATCCAGGCCCTCCGAGTCCTGCTTGCGGTCGAGGAGCTTGTTGCCGCGTCAGCCGTCCAGACCAAGGTTGGATCTGCGCTTCTCGACGGGCTGCTTGCCCTCATCTCGCCGGACACGGTCCGCTATCCGCCGCTGGCCTACTACTTTGGCCTTGTGCTCTCCCGCCTCTCGCCGGCATTCTGGCGGGCAGATCCCGACGCGACAACTGGGCTGCTTGACACTGCGCTCCACGCACCGTACGCCATTCCGATTTACGCGCACGTCTTTGACCCCTACCGGGCGCCGCACGCGCTCACAGCCATGCTGGACACCCTCTTTACCGCAGCGCGCACCCTCGGGTACGACGCCGTCTCTCCGCTCCTCGCTGCGTTCAACGGCGCGCCGAGGTGTGCGCCTCCGTACCAGCTCTTCCCACGCGAGCAGGGCGAAGGCATGCTGGTGCGGATCGTGGGCGAGGTTGACACTGTGCTGGGCGTCCAGGATCAGATTGTCGGTCTTGAAGCGGCCGCCACGGCGCTTGTTGCTGTCTTTGAGTGGATCCTGACCGCGCATGGGCTCGCAGCCTCGGGCGACATTGTCCCGTTTGTCCTCCCGCAGCTGCTGGGCATTTCACCGCAGGGCGCCACGCGCCTTTTGGCCGCCCTGGCACAAGTACCGCTCCCGACCCATGCCACCGAGCTCGCGCGGATCTTTGGTACCCTCACTGAGCACTTTTGGGCTGTCCGCAACTCGACCCGACTCTTCGACATCTACCACGAGCCGTACGTGGCTGCCCTGGGCCAGTTTGTGTCCGCGCTGGTAGCTGCAGCGGCGGCGGCAGCTGGCCCGGGAGTCGCCTCGGAGTATGCGGGTTTTACCGGTGCCAACGCCGCCCGCCCGCTGTTGGATCTCTGGCACGGCGTTGCGGGACTCTGGCAGCCGTTCCTCTGCTCGATGCCTTCGCCCGACGACGCTGGTGCGCCAGCGCAACAGCCATTTGATCTCGCAGCTCATACTGGCGAGTGTCTGGCGGCAATGGAAGCGCTCCGGGGCTCTATCGACGCGCTCACCTCTCACGAGGCGTGTGCCGGTGAGCTGCTTGCCTCGGTCTTTGAGTGGTACGTCCGTGCGCTGGTTCCTTTCTCGGAACCTGGAACCCGGGTGCTCTTTGACGATGTTCTCGGCTCGCTGGCGTGGCGCCGATGGCAGCTCGACTCGGCAGGCCTTGCACGGCTTGTGAGCATGGTCACGCCCAACGCGGCCGGGCTCTTCCTCCGTGTCCTCCCGCAGGTTCTTCCACCGATCCTCATGACCTCGCCAGCCATGCCAATCTCGACTGTGCGCGAGACGTCAGTCGCTCTGGCACTGGCTGTCCGGCACGCGCCGCTTCCGATTCCTCGCGACGCTGTCGCGCTGCTTGCATCGACCGCAGAGTGGCAAGAACTGCCACCAGAGGCGTACCGTATGATGGTCGATGCGGTGCCACTGGTTCTCGACGCCGCCATCGCGCCGCTGGTTGTCGATGCGCCGTCGGTGGAGACGAGCGTCACCTCCGAGGCGGGACGGATTTCGCTCATCCTCGGCCTGTGGCGGGTGCTCGCTCGTGAGTCGCCGGCCAAGCTAGCAGTGCTGAACGGGGCAGCCATGGCGGCTGTGCTCTCGGGGAGTGGTGTCGACACCGGCTTTAACTCGGCGCAGCACCCGAGCCTCGTGGGCGAGCTGCTGGGCCTTGTGGGCGCGCGCATTGACAGCGCATCGACCGACGACGTGCACGCGATGCTCAGCTCGCTGGTGGAGATGCACAACTTTGCGAGCCCCAACTGCGCAGACGAGCTGCTGCGGACCTTTGTCTCGTTTGCAAGCATGCATCCGTCGGCGGCATCAGCCATGGTGGCGGTGGCGTCGTCGCGACTGGCGTCGGTCGAAGCCATGGTCGGCCTGGTAGAGGCCTCACTCGCAGCTGCGGACGGAGCCGGGCACCAGATCCAGAGCCTCGCGTCGAATGTGCGCGTCCCCGAGCTTGCCGCGGATGCCTTTACTGCCGCGTGTGTCGCTGCGTGCGCAGGCTTCACTCTTGTCTGCGTGCTCGAGCAGCAGCGGAACAAGGCACAGGCTGCCCACAACGGCTGCGAGTGGTTCCGGGCCATGACGGTAGAGGCTGGGAACGAACGCGCAGCAGTAGCGTTGGTCCTCAAGGTTCTCGAGCTCGCGCCTACGTTTGAGGTCGTGGCGGCCATCGGGAGCGCGCTCGCCGATGCAACCCGGGTCAAGCAGGGCCTCTTTGCGCGGATGGCCAAAAAGGTCGGCCTGCGGCGGAGTGACAAGGCGCCGGCGGCATGGTTCACGGCGCTCTCGCGCGGCTTTGGTCTCTGGACAGTCTTGCGGACCCGAAACGCCGCCGAGCCAGATCTGGCCCGCGAGCTCAAGGACTTTCGCGAGCTCGGCCGCAAGAAAACATACGCCCACCTCAAGTTCGCTCTCGACTCGGTCATCGAGCTGGTCGAGGGCGACGGCGAGGCCAGCCCGGAGGTAGGTGCGAGGGTGTGGCAGTCGATGCTCGCACTGGTCTGGAGCGCAAACGAGCCAGGTGCATCCACATAAAGCCTCACACTAGCCGTCTCATCAAGACTCGAGCCAGTCGTCGCCCCATCGAGCTTTGCGGGCGTGGCGGTAGGCCGGCCGGCCGGACTTGCCCTTGGTGACCGTGAGGCGAGCAATGTCGCCGGTGGGCGCGCAGGTATCCATAATGACGTGCTTGCCGCGCTTGAGCGGAGGCGAGATAATCTTGGACCAAGAGGTAGAGGCCGTCGTGTCGGCGACCATCGTGGCATCAATCTCGGCCCCGGTCTTTGCAGCAATGAGGTACGAGAACTTTTCACGCGAGAACGAGGTTGCCGATGACTTGAGTGCGCGCTGGATCGGCGTGCGTTCGTAGGCGAGCGCAAAGTGGCACCACGACTTGGCATAGCGATCGTCGCGCTCGCTTGCAAGCGGACAGGCGCCCGAGTGTGGGCAAGGCGCAACCACCGAGCCGGAGCCGGAGGCGATGACGGTGTCGCGGACGGCCATGATTCTGGCGTAGCCTTGCGGCGTGCCGGGCTCGACCACCACAAGCACCTTGCCAGCTGCAGCCCACAGTTGGTCAATAGTAGGCGCAAGTAGGTTGTCCGACGGAAGATCGCAGAGCACGTAAGACGCGAGCACAAGGTCGGCCGGGGTGGACGGGAGGGTGACCCTGGCCGAGATCCGGCTGTGCAGAGCGGCATCGTCGGGCAGAGTGGCGAGACCGGCGTCCATCATGTGCGGCGAGGGTTCTACCACCACCAGTCCCTCGTCCATGGCCTGCGGAAGGACCTGGTTGAGGGCCCAGGTCGAGGCGCATGAACCGGCGCCAAAGTCAATCGACGACCGGACGTCGGCGAGGATGTCCGACGGCAGCTTGGTCACCATCTCATCCAGCACGCGCTCGGTGGCAGCATACACCGCAGGCGAGCGATGTGCCATGAAAGCTGTAGCCGCCAGTGCCGAATTGTAGCTCGGAGCCCCCGATGCCGCGTATGCCTTGGCACCAGCTTCCTTCAGATGTCCTGCTGCCACCGACTTGACCCTCTTGGCGATGGCCCGAGCCAGTCCCCTGGGCACCTTCCGCTGTCCGTCCGCCAACGCCGTCCTCCGTCCACCTGGTGCCGGGACGGTACTCGCCATGACCCGTCCAGTCCATGCCCGGGCCACAATCATCTGTCGCCGCAGCATGGTGGCAAGTGCGAGTTGAGTGTGGTTCGTCGGCGGGGTGGGGGGCTGCTCGAAGATGGATGGATGCTGCCAGACAGACACCGACGCATGGCCTCGACTCTGAAACGTCGGGGGTGGCCAGCATAAAAGCTCGTCAAGCTTTAAAGAGCTCCGCAAAGTTTACGCGTCCAGAGCGGCCAGCTCATCCTCGCCAAGCTCCAGATCCTCGCCCTCGTCAAGATCCGAGAGATCCGAGAGGTCGGAGAGGTCGTCGGCGGTGGTGAGGCCGGCGGCAAGATGGCGGAGCGAGAAGGGCGAGACCGGGTGGGCGGCATCAGCGACGACGCCATAGACCTCAAAGACGAGTGCATCATTGAGGACGGTGTCGATGACCTCGTCGGAGACCCGCATGCGGACGAGGCCCTGGAAGAGAGGGGCAGCGTCGGGCGCGGCTGCCGTCTCGCCACCGAGGAGCGGCGTGACGAGCGGCATGGCCGCGCCGGGGAGGGTGACTGAGACAAAGACGCCATCGAAAAGGCGAGCGGGGTGTCGTCGAGGGCGTGCACGGTGACTTTGACGTCGACGACGTGCGCAGGCTGAAGCCAGAGCGACGGTTTGGCACGCGCGGCGTCCGAGAGCTGCGGCTCGATCGAGACTGTCAGCCGGCCACGGTAGTGGCCGTGCGGCGAGAGGACCGGCGTGGTGACGGCGCGAATGGAGCCGGCGCGCGAAAGCGCGAGCGGAATCACGTATGCCGAGCCGAGAAGTACATCGGTCTCGAGCGAGAACGGATCCGGGCCGCCGTTGTCGGCGAGGCCAAAAGCGCGATAGTTCTCCACTACTTCCATCATGTTGAACAGCCTTTCAGCAAAGGTGTCGGCATCGAGGAGCGCGACCGGGCCGGCGGCTGGGCCTGCCGGCCCGCACGCCTCACACTCGAGGTGTAGCTGGCGGACAAAGACGGCTGGCTCGTGGCGGCCAGCGGCGCCGCCGACCAGCGCAGGCTGGATGTGCGGCGCGTAGCGGACCGTCTTGCCGAGCGCCGCCGCTGCCGCGTTGGCCTCTGAGATGTCGGGCATGAGTGCCACAAGCCCGGCCTCGAGCTTGTCAATGAGCGCGGCAGCATCGAGCTCGAGCTCGGCCGCGTCGCCGGCGCCGAGCTTGGACGACCGCGCCCCAGTCGCGTTCTCCTTCATGGCGAGCTGGTAGACCTTGAGCAGGGCAGTGCGGCCAAACGGAGCGGACGCGCCGTCCGCGTACACCAGAAAGTGGTTGTTGCCGATGACCAGGCGGTCGCCGTTGGCCAGCTTGGCGCCGGCGGCGGCGACCTCGACGCCGTTAACCCGCACGGGCGCCTGTGCATTGCCAGGCTGGCAGGTCACACTGCCATTTTCGGCCTCGGTCACGATGCGCATGTGGATCGGAGCAACAAGGATGCCGCCGAGGGTGTAGGTGGCCTCGGGCGACGAGCCAAAGGTCACGCCTGACGCAGCCGCCGATATGTCCAGCGCGTACTTGATGGACGCGTTGGCAAGATTGACCAGGTGGGGCTTTGAGGTGTCGACGTTGACGTCGATGCCCGACACAGCGCGCAGGTCCGACTTGAGCTCGTCCATGGCGGCCTTGGACGAAGCCGAGGCTTCGGCCCGTCGGTCTGCAGCCGAGAGGCCGAGCGAGTCCATGAGCTGGGTCTGCTGCGCTAGCTGTGCCCGCAGCGCATCGAGTTCGGCGGCCATGGCCGCGTCCTCGGCCGGGGCAGCCGACGCGTCGCCGGCGCCGCCTGAGGCGACCAGCGCCTTGAGTCGGGCCACCTCCTCCTTGAGCTCGCGGATGACCTTGTCGTTGGGCGACTCGTTGATGACGGCCACGTTCTGGATCTTACTGGCCCGGTTGGCGTAGCGCAGCGTCGAGAGAGTCTCCTTGTAGTTGTCGGCTGCCGGAGAGATAGCCGCCACCATGATGGTCTTGGCGTTTCCGCCAAGACTCTCCTGCAGGATGCGGGTGAGCGCCGAGTCGCGGTACGGCACAATGCGCTTCCGCCGGCGCTTGCCCTGCTCAGCCGGCATGCAGTTGTCGGCCAGCGCCTCGATGACGTTGCCGAGGGCGGTGAGCGACTGGTTGATGGCGGAGCCCTCCTTGAGGCGCTTCCCTGTCGCGCCGGTCTTGTTCTGCCGCTCGGAGCCGGCAAGGTCGATGAGGTTGATCTTGCTCGTCAGGTCAGATGCGGTCATGGTCGCCTGGTCCACTCGAGTCTGGGTGAGGTAGATGGTGAGGACCGAGTGCGAGCGCGACGAGGTGGCGTTCATGTTTGTCTGCGCCACCGTCCGCATGGTGTTGCCCAGCTCCATCAGAACTTCGACGTCCTCGTAAGAGGTCACCGCCCGGCGCGAGAGGCCCTCGACGAAGATGCCGAGTTTGGGGCTCTCGCGGACCTTGAGGCTCGCCACTGCCTGCTTGGGGTTGAACAAGTCGCGGATCTTCTCCATGTAGATCTCCAAGTACGAGACCTCGACCCGAAACGAGAGATCATCGACCTGATTGGCATCAATTCTGGCAAACAATTCGCGCAGACCTCTGGGAACGATACCAAGCTCCTCCCCGTAGCCGGACATCGAGTACGACTTGCCGGCGCCGGTCTGGCCGTAGGCAAAGACCGAGGTGTTGTAGCCAGCCCAAGCGGCCTCGAGATAGGCCTTGCCCAGATCATCAAACACTTTTTCCTGCGAAGCGTACGCCTCATCATGAGCATCCACAAACGAGTTGTATGCATAGTTGAAGGAGAACGAGTGCTGCTTCTCGCCATCCGTTGGGTCCGTCACCACCACCATGTGCTCCGTCGGCATGGTCACACACGCCGGTGACTCTAGCGCAAGCTCACGCTCGTTAAACGGACGCATACGCACCGCAATCTGTACATTATCCCCTCCGCTACTCATAATACCCTCGTCTACTCTTCTGCCTCCAGCAAGTCGGAAGTGAGGTGGTCCAACGCCTCGCCCGTAGTTAGTGCGGCGGGTTGGCTGGTCGTCGTCGCTGCCCATCCGTCCGCCGCCACCCACGAGCCGCCGCCCATCCGCCAGCCATCGCGGGCCATCGCCCATCCGCCAGCCTTCGCGGGCCATCGCCCATCGCCAGCACCCGCCAGTTTCTGTCCATCTGCCGCCCATCCGCCAGCCATCGCGGGCCATCGCCCATCCGCCAGCCATCGCGGGCCATCGCCCATCGCCAGCACCCGTGAGCCGACAGTTAGCGGGTAGGACAAAGAGGACAGGATCGCGGGGATCACAGAGATCACATAGATCGCAGAGAGCGTGATGATCGCCAGGATCGCTACTGTAGACTCTCATCACATACATACATCCAGAGTAGGCCGTCATCAACGAACAAGCGTATACTGCGATGATGCAAGCGTTGGATCCGGAGAGGGGGGGAGGCCCACATCACAAAGCCCGCGACTGAGGCTCAGACCATCCATCAGTCCCCAATCCCATGCCCGAGCCTACATGCATGCCCATATTCGATCCCGCGCCAGACCCACGATCCCTGCCATATCCTTCCAATTTCCTGCAGGTACTGGCTGCTTCCTCCCGCAGGTGCTGGCTCAAGCTCAGGCTCCAACACTCACTCGACTCGAGACCCAGATGGCTGCCGAGCCGAGCTCGACGGTAGCCAGCATTGCTGCTGTGCCTTGGTGGCACTCTGTGGTGGCCGGTAACATGGGTGGCATTGTCGGTATGTGGTTCTGCTGTTGCCCATGCCATTGAGGGCTAGCACAGAGGAATGCGATGTGGGCAAGTGACTTGCTTTCTTTTTTTGAGGGGGAGGGTGGGGAGGTGGAGGGGGGGGGGGGGGGGGGGGGGGGGGCTGCGTCTCTCACATCCGATCTGGCGCGGTATGCTGCTGCGTTCGGCGACAGGACTCGCCATCTCGTTTCCACTTGATACGCTCAAGGTGCGAATGATGATGGAGCCAGACAAGTACGTGTCGTTGGGCGCGACTCTGCGATCAATGGTGGCTAGCGAAGGCCCGGCCTCGCTGTATCGCGGGCTGACGGCGCCAGTGGCGGGCTACGGCGTCATCAATGCTGTGGCCTTTGGTTCTTTCGAGTGGGCAAAGTCTTGGCTGGACGAGGTGGTCGACGAGACACGTGCTGGCTCAATGGCTCAGGTTGTCATCCCGGCGGCGGCCTTTGCTGGCCTGGTCCAGTCGTTTGTTCGCGGGCCGGTCGAGCTTGCCAAGACGGTCCAGCAAGCGTGGCACAATCCCGGCAATGCGCGGGCACCGCCGTTCAAGTCGGCCTTTCACGGCATCGCCCATGTGGTGCGAAACGACGGTCCCAGCGCGCTCTTCCGTGGCCTGGGCGCCACCATCGCCCGTGAAGTCCCGCAGTATGCTATCTACTACCCGACGTACGCGCTGCTCAAACCGGCCCTCACCGACGCGCTGCCGAGCAAGTACGCACCGGTTGCAGTTGCTGCCGCCGGTGCGCTCGCAGGCTCAGCCCAGTGGGTCCCTACCATACCGGTCGATGTCATCAAGACCCGGATGCAGGGCGCGCCGGCCGGTACCTACACCTCGGTCGTGCACTGCGCACGCACGCTGTGGGCCGAGCAAGGCCTCGCCACGTTCTTCAAGGGCACGGCGCCGGCCCTCATCCGCGCCGCCCCGCTCCATGCAGGTGTCTTTCTCGGCTACGACACCACCATGAAACTGCTCGCCTCCACCAGCACCGCGAGCCAATGACGCCGGTCCAGCCTGCGCGTTCTGCCCATCACCGCCGCCGCCCGGCCCGCCCGGCCTTGGCCTTGGCCTTGGCCTTGGCCCGCCGCCGCTTGTGCTCGTTCCAAGCAAGAATAAACTTGTTGAGCAAGTCAACAACCAGCAAGGCCTCGGCCAGCAGTGTCTGCGGCATGTTGGCGCTCTTCATCCGTGAGTAAAGACTCTGCATCGAGTCGCGGACGGCTGCAGCGTGAATTGACGGCAGCCGCTTTGTCCCGAACAGTGGGTAGTACAGCCGCAGCTCACAGAGCTCGTTGTAGATCTCGCGTGAGGCCTCGTTGCGGAGTACGTTCTGGTACGCGAGGTTAATCCGTGAGAGCACCTGCGTGGCCGACGCCTGCATCGCAGGATCGTCAAAGTTGTCCGGATGCAGCATCCGCGTCAGTTCGCGCCGCTGGGTTAGAATGAGCGACGATGGCGACTCGGCCGTCACGCCAAACAGTCCGTAGTAGTCGCCGTCGTCCACAAGCGCCATGAGCTCGGCGTGCCGCTCCGCCGGCACAAACTTGCGGTTCACCACCGTGCCGCTTGCCCACTGCTCGCGGCCGTAGGCCCGGCCAGGATCCGCTCCAGCAGCGCCTTGCGGTCCTCCGGCGACGGCACTGTCCGCACAGGTGTCGGGCGCGCCGGCGGCTCGACCGAGCACAGCGAGTCGCCCGAGCCCGAGCCCGAGCTCGACTCGGTCTCGTACTCGTACTCGCCCGAGCCCGAGCCCGAACCCGAGTCTGACCCAGAGTCCGAGTCGGAGCCCGAGTCCGGGCTCGACTCGTGTCCAGCGCTGGTCTGGCCTGCAGCGCCCGGCGACGATGTCTTGCGGCCAGTGCCAAAGAGCGAAAACGGCGAGTCGCGAGCCGCTGTAGCACCTGGTGTCGGTGACGGCGTCGGCGCTGAGCTTGCCGCCGCGATCTTCTCCTTGGTTTTCGACGAGAAGAGCGAGAAGACCGAGTCGGATCCGGAGCCCGTCTTTTTCGATGATGGTGCTGTCGACGCAGCTGAGCTGGTGGACGATGCGGACGGAGAAGCCGCCCGCGGCGAGATCGCGCGTGGTGACGAGACTTGTGGCGTGCCGGACCCACTGGTGTTGGGCGGCGACGGAGCAGCCGGTTCGGGCCCCGCCGCCGCAGCCGGGGAATTCGTCGGATCCCGGAGCCGTCCGCGTTGAATCAGCCGCATGTACATGAGCTTGCCGTTGTCGCGGGCAGATGTGAGGGCGTCGGCAAACGAGACATCGCGCGACGAGGCCCAAGCACCGTAGAACGCGCGGTCGAGCTCACGGTCCGGCTCGTGCCCGTCGCAGTAGAGTACAAAGGCTGACGGGAGCTTGTTGGCCAGCCGCTTGGCGTGCGGAATGTTGAGCACAACGGCGAGAATCGATGAGACGTCAAAGAGCTCCGCCAGGTCGGCGTCGGGAACCAGCTTGGTCGCATACCGCTTGCCGTGCAGCGCAACCTTGTACCGCCCAGGCTTGGAAGCTGGGACATGCGGTGCCGAGAGATGAACCACATGCGGACGAAACGACAGCAGCGTCGACTCTAGCGCGTCGGGCGTCGGCAGAGGCAGCACCATGTACTCGGGCGCAAGCGGCGACGAGCCCAGGGATTCGCCGATCAGCATGCTCTCGACCTCGACGCCACCCAGCCCATGCTCCACAGGCGATGCGCCAACGTACAGGACTCTCAGCGGGCTCTCGCCGGCCAGATCATACGGCGATGCGTCAACAAGGTGCAGACCCGGCAGAGTGGTGACGGGCGCATGAACGACGACTGCCTCAGGCGCGGTCTTGTCCAAGGCGCCGCCATCCTCCGACGACGCTTGCTGTCTGCTTTCAGCATTATTCGATGGCACTGCCGTGGCAACCTCGTTCATGGCCTTGGCCACTTCTCGCAGCAGCTGGCGGCGAATGCCGAGCTTGTCCATCGCGAGCTCGTGCTTCAGGTCGTGGTCGGAGAGCGAGCCGAGGGTGGCCCCGTCGACAGCTTGCTCTCCAAAGGCCTCTGCATACGGTGCAAAGCTCGGGTATGTCGAGAGCCATCCCTGTACCTGTTCTGTGCTCCACCCGTCCATGCTGAGGGGGAGGTGGGGGGGGGGGAGGGGGGAGGGGGGGTACCTGCCGGTAGGTGGGTGGGGAG